GGGCACCGCTGTTTCTGCGCTTGGACCCTCCTGGGCAGCTTCATTCTGTGGCTTCGCCGCCAAAATCCAGGAAAAACATCACTACACCCCCTTTGGACCATCTGCTGAACTCGAGTTAATATGATCTTTTTGAAAACCTTCTTGCATCTTTGCTCCCAAATACGGATTTGTCTGACTTCTAAATTTAATCTAATTTAATTGCCAAATTAATTCAGCCTGTAATTTGATTCGTCCATCTGTCCTAGTTGCAGCTTTTACCACATGCTGCCTTGAAAGCAAGTGTCTCCCCTCCATAATCCCGCTTATCGAAACACAAAGCATATTAAAACCTAACCCATTATAATAATAACAATCAATCGCATTGATAAATGTAGATTTTTTATTAAAAATGGGGACTAGGATGGTTAGTGAGCTTCGACCATCATTGTATCCGCCTCGACCATCGTCGTATCCGCCTCGACCATCGTTCTTTTTGTTGGAATGACTGCTAAATTCAGATTTGGACAAGTTGACAGCAGAAAGACTAAAATCAATAGAAAAGTCCACGCAACAATTTGAATAAAAATTGGAATACATTTTTCGATCCAAAATATAAGAGAAGGGCTATTTGTTGTCGATTTCGTCGTCATTATCGTCATATCGTATGCTTTCACAAAAAAATGGTTGAAATTAAATGGTAAAAGAACTCGAAGAATCATTCTGATGAAAGATAATTGTAATTTCATAGCATCAATCATGATGATATAATTGTTAACGTCGGCGACGATGAAAAGCATCAAAAAGATATTGACAATGTTGAAAATCGTTTCAGAGGGCACTAAATAAGAGAACATCATTAACATTGAATTGTAGTTGATGACTGCAAAGGTAATGGTAAAAAATTGCATAATATTCCTCTTGTTACTTGCAAAAACAACACTACCACCATCGTGATTAACGCGGATCATGATGAACTTGAAAATAAAAGATCCTAATACGAATCCCATATGAATGAAAAGTGTGAAAAGAATTTCAGAGCCAACATAAATCAATGGATTGTACAAATTCATTCGTCTGCTTGTAATCACAAAGTGACGATAGGTTCTGATCCTCCCTGGAACTTGCATGAATATGTAAAATAAAAATGTTTCAAAAAGCGTTGGATAGGCACTTAGTTTGGCAACTTTTGATTGAAGATAACCATAGGCCATGGAAACGACTGTCAAAGAAAAAAGCATTGAATGAGAAAGCGTTGAATAATGATAGACGAGCAAAGCCAAAAATTGGTCCCATAGCGGAAGAGGATCTCGAAGTTTTGGAATTGCAAGAAAAGGACCATCGTAAATCAGTTTAATTCCGCGATTGGAAAGCGCGACATCAGCAGCATCGTCATCATGATCACTGGAATCTCTCAAGGTAGGGGCGATGCGAGATTTCCAAGTCGATTTCAGAAATTCAATCTTATCATTTGATTTGGCGATCGATTCCTTTGTTCGGGAATCGATGGAAACGGCGTCAAGGACAAAATCTGCAAAATTGATGTTTTTCTCATTTTCAATGCCACTTTTTTTGAAGAAATTTCGAGCTTCCGCCAGTGAGCCGTAAAATATTTGAAATCCCTTTGTCAGAATGACCAATTTGGAAAACATTGGAAGCAAATCTTCTCTTGGCTGATGAATGGTCATTACGATGGTTTTGTGGTATTTTGCAGCATATTCCTTCAACAATTCCACAATTTGAAATGTCAAAGAAGAATCAAGGCCAGAAGTCGGCTCATCCAAAAACAGCAGCATTGGATCGGAAATCAATTCAAGGGCAATGGCTAGTCTTTTCTTTTGGCCTCCAGATATCAATTGAACGATCGTTTCAGAACAATCTTCCAACTGAAGCGATTGCAAAAGTTGGTTGATTTTATCATCTCTCGCATTTTGAGATCCAGCGATTTTCATGGAGGCAATGATTTCCATATTTTTTCTCACTGTAAAAACAGAATTGATATTGTTGACTTGCTCAACATATCCCAAAATGCAGCTCCATGTTGATTCTTCTCTGTTTTGCCCATTGACCGTGATTGAGCCAGAGACGACGGATCGTTGCAGCCACCCTGCCAGCGCATTTAATAAAGTAGTTTTTCCGCAACCTGAAGGGCCAAATATGGCAACAATTTCTCCCGGCCCTGCTTGTCCCGATATTTCAGAGATAATTCTAGTTTTTGGGCCGAAAAAAGATCCAGTTATGTCCACGGAAATGTTCTTCCAACTCAACGTGACACCCGCATTTTCCGCTTCAAAAATCAACGGAGAAACAGATTGTTGCTGCGGAATACCATCAGCATCAGAAGATTTAAATATGAAAATTATAATTCCAAAGCATATCAGTGAGACCGCAAGCAAAGTTGGAATGATTAATACTTTTACCGACTTCATGGTTGTAATTAAAAATGCGAGCAATTAAATCCATTTTTTAAATCATCGAAATCAGCTCCAATCAAAATTGAGAATTAATCATCTCCGAATTCATTGGTTTTTGAATTTTTATCAAATTTGAAATTAAAAGAAGCCATTAAAAAGGCGGTCTTAAAATGTTCCGTAAATTTTGCAATTTTTACCACTTCAAATCTTTTTTTCTCTAGAATTTTTTACAGAGAGTAATTTCAGGATTTCGCATTTTCCTGATCACCTCATTTGCAATAACTGTTTTTCTAGTAGGATTGCTGATTTGTCTTATTGCTAGGGTTGGGTTTGCCATGCTTTATCTCGTCATAAACGAAATTATGGGGCGTCTTGATTTCAAAGCTGCATCTGGGAGTCAGTAAAAGGTATTTTGCCAGTAAATTTCTATTTCGTCTTGTCACTATGTGCACGGGTCCCGCTTATACAATAAATATCATAGTAAACGCTAGCCTAGCCCATTAGGTTAAGGTTGTGCTCCCAATGCAGGAGGAGATTGATATCGAATGATTTATTGCCTACAAATTTAAACCGATTGAATTTATTTTTCGGTGGGACCATTATGCATTATTTCTCGTGGCTAATATCTTATTGTGGCACATTTGGTAAAACTTGTAGATTTTCCAGAGATTCCTGAGCTTGCTCAAATTGTAAAAATTTCAGATTTTGCTCAGTTTTTAGAGCTTCTACAGCTTTCATCTCTTGCTGAATTTTTAGAACTTGCTGAGTTAGCTGAGCTTTCATAGCTTCTTCTTGATCTGGATTTAATTGATTTGGCTGCGAAAATATAGCATCTAGATCTAGTTTAATGTTTTCAAGTTTTTCGTTTAGCCGATTTTGTTCATCTGTTATAATTCTTAGAGATATTCGAATTTGTTGAGCTAGTTCAAGTTGTTCAGCTACTAGAGCTTGTATACATATTAGAGCCTCTAACCGATCTCCTGTTGCATCTGCTCCACTTTCTAACGAGGGGAGAGCGAGAATGGCAAGGAAAGCTATGAGGAATAAAAGTTTTGCAGTGCTCATCGAAGGAGACAGCTTGTTGAAAAAATTAGTGGCGGTTTATGCACTGTTTTGCACCAAATCTGAGTATTAAATTTACTAGTTGCCAAAATGCTCAATTAAACTCTGAAATTTTAGTTTCCAGGTCGTCTTCGTTTGCATTTCATTCGCCAAATAGTTAACTGTATTAAGGATTATTGAAAAAATAGAAGGTAGCCCATCAAGCACAAGCACAAGCACAAGCACAAGCACA